TTTAGCCCTATGGTTTGGGCTCTCTCCAACCCAACACACACTAATAAACTAAATACATGAGTTTTGTTAAGTGCCTTTTTTATCTCTGCTCTTAGAAGTTGGCTATATTTTTAATTTTAGAAGCCGCAAACCTATAGGATGCCATGAGAACCACAGTAGGAGAAAGAAAAAACTCAGATTATCTTCTTTGTAACTTTCAATGGGTTATCAGCCATAGGACCGGCTTATAAATCCATCTTACTCATATTTTCTCTTTGTCTCTGCTTTTCTGTCGAGTTTAATTTTCATTCACGATGCCTTGAAAGGCAGTACAGAGTCATGCAACATTAAACCGATTACAAACTGGGGACATTACAGACCAATGATGACGCTCTAGACTTAAACAGCAAACTCTCTACAGTGGATAACATTGTGGTATTCAGGTTTCTGCAGCTTCAATACTACGTGCTTAACGGCAGCAGCATGGCATATTTTCTAAGGCATCTGTAATTCAAACTCTTAACTGGCATCAAGAAATCATTGAGATAACATCATTAATTTTCATTAAAGTAAGAGTTAGTGGAAACGACCTTCAGTTGGAAAAGCTAGCCAGGACAAGTTTTGTTTTCTGACCCCAGACAATAGCTCTTTATCATGACTTTACAGACATAGAAATGACGAAAAGGCCGGAAGGGAAACCAAAGTGTATCTAAAATTAAGGGGAAATTCTGAAATAATCTACTGAACAGTTAAGTAAGGCGATCATGCATGTTTTCAATAATAAAAGGATAGGTGAGCTCTTCATTCTGTATTCATACTCCACGTGGAACCCTTCTACCATTCCTGAGAATCCAGCACTTAATTTAGATAAATACACCCTCGTTTTGCCCTGCCTAAATCTTTTTCAAATATGAGAAAAGTAATGCTGAGAAAGGAAGTGCTGAGAGTTGCACAGTAGTTGAAAAGTGAAAATTTTACATTCCACATTCAGAGCTTAACTTTGTTATGAGGTCATAAACACTCGTGGCCAAAATGTTTTATAATATCAGATTCCCCCATTTTTCCCATGTTTATTGGAAATTTTAACATACAGTGAGATGACAGACAATGAGACACATTCGTGAATGGAAAGACTTTTTGACAGAAGAACTGAATAATGCCTAAATCTGCAAGGAATAGTATGGAAAGGGTGGTCCAATCTAGTCAATTTGGGGGCTTTTTCATAGTATGACCTGGCACAACATATTGTCTCTACTGAACTTTTAGGGTCTCACAGGACTGTACACCATAGCACTCTACAGTAGCCATTTCACAGTCGTCCCTTTCTCAGTGGGAGGCACTACCTCTGGGATGGGGCAGAGATAGAAAATGAAAAAGAGGCAGAAGACTTTCTCCACCCGGTCTCTGACTCCCCCACCCCAAATTACCTCTTTCCAGCTCTGGTACATTCAACAGGTCCCTACGGAAATCAAGGCCCAGGGAGTCCTCTAAAAACCACTCAAGCTTAGCAGCTATACAGCTGAAAAGTGACAGCTTCAGAGTCTAACCTATATAGAAATGGAAGCCCAAATCTCCTTTCATTCCCATATCCATTCCGTGAAAACAGATTAAGCTATTCTCTGTGCCAGGCTTTGTGCTGAGCGCTGGAGAGACCAAGATAAAGAGGACAGGCCTACTCTCTCCTTCCGAACAATTTCCTTTCTAAGCCATGTCTTCACCACCATGTAGAAAATCACACAGCAACAACACTCCTTGACCATCTTCCTGCTAGCTTCTGCAGACCCCCTGGTCAGATACTTTCATTCCCAAACTTTCGGTTGCCAGGGTTCACAGCTCTCGGCTGTGAACTGGGTTCAATTCGGTCCAGTTTGGGTCCAATTTGGGGTGATTTCAATATTGGCCGTCATGACTGGTGTGTCACTCTAGCCATTCAGTTCCTTAAGTTCCTATTTCAGCTGCAGGGAAATTGACATCCAGTCCACCTCTACCACCCATGCAAATGGTCATGTCCTAGAGCCAATCAGCTGACCCGTTCCACTTCTGAAAAACTGCTGCCGTCTGACAACAACTTCTTGGCCTTCCAGTCACTTCCACACAATCTCTTCCTCTACCTCCCTGAAGTGTTTGCTGGCCGCTTGACCACACTACCTCCTAATTCCAAGCTTCCACCTGAATTCCCAGCTTCTCCTGCCCAATGTGGACTGGGCAGACAGCATTCCAACCACTTACCCCCTCTTTTGACCAGATCCTCATTTCTCTTGCCTAGCTGGCCTCTGTCCACCTGGAATAGAATCATCCAGCTCCTGGAGAAATCCCCCCGAGGATGGGTGCAGCCCTAAATCACTCAGCCGACACTGAGCTCCAAGATGCTGCTTTCCAAAATAGCCTTCTCCCTGGCCACAGAGGTAAGGCCAACCTCGACTTTCTGCTGTTAACTGCAGCCCAGGAACTCTCCTCCACCTTCACGCTGAAAATGGAGCCCCGTCCACGGGCATCCCTCACCAGCCTCCCCCAGGTCTCCTCAGTTACCTGGCCCTGCTCACATCCTCTCCTCACCCTACTCACTACCTTGGAAGACAGGCACACCCTTCCTTCTCATGGGCTCTGGGTTATCTTCTCCCACCCTCCAATGATTCACATGTTTTATTATCTCCTCTTCAGTCAACAATGTTCATTTTGTCCTGTCTTCTAATACTCATTGAAATAGATTCAGGCTTCTCTCAGTCTAAATGTGTGTACCCTCCATTAACTTCTCTGCCCCTTCCAGCTAACAACTGCCCCGCTTCCCTTCACAACCTTTCTCCAAGAATCGTCTCAACCAACTTTCTCTACATCCCCACTTTTCATTGACTTCTAAGCCCACTTCACCACCTCCACCATGTCCCCTAAAATCTCACCCAAGTTCCTGAGGACTTTCTTGTTGCTGAACCCAATGGACCCTTGGACCCACTTCCTCCTGACCTTCCAGCAGCATCTGAGCCTGGTGATGGGCCCCTTCTTCCTGCCCACGTAATATGTGGTACTACACTCTGTGTGTGTTCCTTTGTAGCCCCCTCTGTACATGGGTCACTCTTGGTCTCAAATATTGTTTTCTTGTTACTTTCCCTCTCCCTAAGCATCTGCACACTCATCATCCCTCAATGTTGCGCATCTGTTTCTCCTGAGCACCACAGCTATGTGTCTATGGCCAACTCTGCCAGCAGGCCCACTGTTCATCTCAGTTGAGCACCTAAGTCTCTTCCTTGATCCATCCTCACCAGGCACATCAAACTTGTCACTAAGGCCTATCAATTTCACCTTGTATTTCTCAAGTCCTCCCAGTTTTCTCCATTCCTACTCTGCCAATTCAGGCTACCAGATTGCTGGTTTAGAGGACCAAAATTGCTCGCCGAGTTTCTTCCCCTGCAGGGGTACGCCCCCACACCTCCCCGCACCCCCACCCCCAGCACTGATGCAGGCTCTATTCCACAGCCAGAGTCATCTTTCTAAATGACAATCTCAACACGCCATCCCACTACATGGCTCCCCACTGATTTCCACATTCTTGAAGTTTTTTGTAATTGGAGGATAATTGCTTTACAATATTGTGCTGGTTTCTGCCATCCATCAACATGAATCAGTCATAGGTACACATATGGCCCCTCCCTCTTGAACCTCCCTCCCACCTCCCACCTCAACCCACTCCTCTGGGATATCACAGAGCACTGGTCTGAGCTCCCTGTGTCACACAGCAAATTCCCGTCGGCCATTTCTCTTACATATGGTGATGTATATGTTTCAATGCTAGACTCTCAATTCGCCCCACCCTCTCCTTCCCATCCTGTGTAACTTAAGTGTAAAACCCTTTCACAGTCTTCCTGGCTCCAGCCGAATATTTCACCGCAGCCCCTCCCTGGAGCTCCTGTGTTCTATCATGCTGTGGCATTTTCAGTTCTTGAGTGCATCTCTGGACCCCATACCTCAACACACGCTCTGCCTTCTGATGAGAACGCTCCTCCAAGACTGAACTCTACTCGGCTTTCTGGACTCACGTGGCTCTTCAAGCAAGTCTTCTCAGCACCTCACCCCCACAACTAGCTGTTCTCATGGTACCCCATCCACTGTCATGTAACTAAATATACAACATTCAAATTGTCCTTTCACTTTTTCTCAGGTGCCCATAAAGCCTTAATAGAGGCAATCTCATTGCTTTTTTAAAAAAAAATAACAACAGATTGTAGAGGTTCTTGATGATCTTATATATGTTTACCTATGTCTGTAGTTCTGGATACCCTGTGTGTCCCTCATTAGACTATAGGTTCCATCAGCATAAGGACTGTGCCTGTCTATTTCGTGCTCACATCATCAGCATACACGGGCTCTCAATAACTTAGTAACAGTTACATAAACTCTCTAATGAACTGAGAGTGTTGTATGACACTCTGGGATTTTTTTCACACTGAGGCATGCTATTTAGCAAAAGCAGAAAAACAACCTTGTCATCATTCTTCTATGACAGCACTGATCTCAACATTAGCATTCAAGCTAAAAACAATACACATCTCTGTGCTTTGGTTGGCTAAGGCAACCGAGTGCTAATACTTCAAACATTAAACACATTTTCTAACAAGAAATAAAGGTGGAATGGGGGAGATAATTCAAGTTTCATAAAGAGAATTCTCAATGCCAGTGCCATACTTTAGAAAATAAAAATGATCAGTCTCATCAATTCAACATCAGTAGCTGAGGAATGGTGACAGGAATGATTCTCAACAATGTGACAAGAGTATTCTAGATGCCCAGGTCTCCCACATTGCAGGTGGATTCTTTACCAGCTGAGCTACCAGGGAAGCCCTAGAATTGAGCAATCAGGGAAGCCCCAATCTAGATGTACACTAAGCCAAAGAGATTTGAAAAAAATGAATTCTGTTACAACTGGACTTGAGAGAGCTATTTCTCCCCTTCTCAAGAGAAAATACCCCAATCATTTTTTTAAAGCAAAGAGTAACTATCAAGTATTTCAAGCACTGGTTAATACTCACAGCAAAGGGCCTTCTGCAGTCTTCGGAGTTTCATGGCAGTCCTATAAGCCGAGAACCTGACATTATTCAGGTCAGCTGAAGAAGAAAGGGGGAAAACAAAGATCATTTGTTATTTCATCAAATAACACAGATAAGCTCCCAGTGATCTGCCAACAAAAGGCTAGGGGAAAAAATCTCTTGTATATGTCCCAGTTTTGGAAAGGTGAAATTCTGTCAATGTGGGGAAGGAAAAAAAAAATATCTTTTTGCTCTTTGACAATCAGGAAAGCTAAGTTCTTTGAGGGATGACAGTGGCATAACCTGCAGGGTGCTTATGTCATTCGTGTTCCCAAGAGAGAATAGAGGGACATGTATTTATTTTCTAGACTGTAATCCTGGTTCTGTTGTAGGGAATCTTTGCTATGCAAGATTTATATTTTTTTTCCTGTTATTTAATTTTTTTATTGGAATATAATTGCTTTACAATGTTATGTTAGTTTCTGCTGCACAACAAAGTGAACCAGGTATATCCCTGGTGGCTCTGATGGTAAAAAATCTGCCTGCAATGCAGGAGTCCTAGGTTCCTAGGTCAAGAAGATCCCCTGGAGAAGGGCATGGCTATGCACTCCAGTATCTTTGCCTGGAGAATTCCATGGTCAGAGGAGCCTGGTGGGCTACGGTTCATAAGGTTGCAAAGAATCAGACACAACTGAAAGACTAAGCATGCACACATACATATATCTCCTCCCTCTTGGACCTCCCTCCCTCTCCCCTGAACCCCACCCCTCTAGGTCATGAGCTACATAAGAATTAAAAGAACAGGGAATACATCACTGGACTAGCTATGAGAATTTAGCAGACAATCAAGTGGCATATAACATTTTTTCTAATTATCAAAGTTATACATGCTCACTGTGGAAAACAAAGAAATTAAAGGAAAACATGGAATCAAGTAAATAAATCATCCATAATCTCACTACACAAAGATGTGCACTGTTAACATTGGGAACATTTCTTATTCAACATGTGTATGTGTCTGTGTGTGAGATGTATTTTAAATATAATTGGCAGAGTTAACTCTCATCCAGGTTTAGGTCTGCCTGATTCCACAGATTCCTTCTATTTAACTCTTCTGCATTTATTTAAAAAGTACATAAGTTGGCAAAGACAGGATAAAAGAGAGTTGGTTTAAAAAGAAGTTCACAAATTTGTGTGTGCATGCACACACATTTACTAATCAGAAATGTTTGCTGATCAAAAATTTGGATGCATATTAAATATACAAATATGATATCAGATGTCAATAAGAAAAGTTACAAATCCATATCAGGATGGATATTTGTTTCTGTCCATATTCTGTACTAATAAAAGACACTGATATATTTTTTAAAAAATCAAGTGAAAAATACTGGGATTACATTTAGCTTTACATAATAAGGTGCAATCATTCTATTATTCTGCATGGATTAACAACTCAACAATTTCTGCTACAGTGGTTTCTACTGTCACTTGTCTATTAAGCCTCAACTCATCTCACCTAGCAGAAATCTCTATTTACATTATGCCCTTACTGAATTTTGCATAAGTCTTGATATACACAAAGCTATATTTCTTTTCTTGCATTTTTGTGCATTTATGTTTCACAAACCCAGCTCCAAAAAGCTCCTTGAAGACCAGTACCCTGTCCCCAACTTCTGTTGTATTTCCCGGTGACTTAACATACAACTGTTCTCTGAAAAAGCAGGTCTAATACAGCTCAGGGACTCTGGCAAACTGAATGAATAAAAGAATGGAAAAAAAAAATACTGGCAAACATGACTAATAACCATAAACAAATGGCACCTACAGAACCAATTCTAACTGGAGATTAGGAAAGGGAAATAATTTAATCTATATCCAAGTTGATGGGTCAACATTATTAAATTGATAACCTTTGAAGAGATCAAATATAACAAGCTAAAATGAAATTAGGGGAAAGAAAAACAAGGTCTGCAATTTACTTTAAAATATCCAACATAAATGCCAAAAAAACAGACAATACTAAATGGTGGCAAGGATGTGGAGCAACTGGAACTCTCATACATTGTTGGTGCAAATATAAAACAGTATGACTACTTTGGAAAATTAGGTTAACAATTTCTCATGAAATTAAACAAACATCTATCTTATTACCCAAAAATCTACTCCTAGTCACCTCAAAGAAATAAAGACATGTCACAAAAAGATGTCTATGTGAATGCCCAGAGTAGCCTTCATCCGTAAGAGCCAAAAACTGGAAAGAAAACTATAGTAGAATGAATGAACAAATTGTGGTACAGTCACACAATGGGAATTCTACTCTGTAATAAAAAGGAACTAACTACTGATAATGCAACAATGTGAGCTGGTTTGAAAAATGTTACCCTGGGTAACAACATAAAGATTAAAAAAAAATACAGTTTGATTCCATTTATATGAAATCCTAGAACAGGTTAATCTCACTTATACTGACAGAAAGCAGGTAGATGGTAGCCAGGAGTGGGGACGGGAAGGGTAACTAACTGAAAAGAACACAAGGCTATTTTTTATGTGACTAAAATGATATTTATCTTGATTGTTATGAAGGTCTCTTGAGAGCATATACATTTTATTGTATGCCTTGTATGGATATGAGAGGTGGACCATAAAGAAGGCTGAGCACCAAAGAACTGATGCTTTAAACTGTGGTGCTAGAGAAGACTCTTGAGAGTCCCTTGGACTGCAAGGAGATCAAACCAGTCAATCCTAAACTAAATCAACCCTGAATATTCATTGGAAGGACTGATACTGAAGGTCCAATACTTTGGCCACCTGATGTGAAGAGCCAACTCACTGTAAAAGACCCTGATGCTGGGAAAGACTGAGGGCAGGAGGAGAAGAGGGTGGCAGAGGATGAGATGGCTGGATGGCATCACCAACTCAACAGACATGAGTTTAAGCAAGCTCTGGGAGATAGCAAAAGACAGGGAAGCCTGTTGTGCTACAGTCCATGGGGTTACAAAGAGTCTGACACAACTTAGTGAACAAACAACAACAAATGCCTTAATAAAGTAGATTTTAAGAGTTAAAAAGAAATCCTCCTCTGGACAGTGTAGAATGATGTATGTGTGGGTTAGCTTAGCTATGCTGCAGAGGCGGTCAGTTGTCTTAATCAGGGAAGCACACTCCAGGGGTGGCTGGCTAGCAATTAATCAAAAACCCTCACTCCAGAGGCCGCCACTGTAAAAGCCTCAGTTATATTTAGCTCGTGTTACACCTAAAATCCTATTAATACATCTAGGATCCTATAATGTGAGAGGGGCTTGTGTTAGTGATATTCGTAGTTTACAAAATACAAGGACTGCTGCAAAGGGTTTAGAAACATGCCCTGCCCTTACGTCAATGGGGTGTGAGAAGAATCTAGAAGGCCCTCTACCTTTCAAAGTGGTGCGGTAGGCTGGATTCCAAGAGCTCCAGCTGTAGTTCTGGGACTCTTGGTTGCCTGAACTCAATGAGACGGCTGACAAAATCCTGCTGTTGGAGCAGTGGTTCGCCAACTTGAGTGTACATCAGATTCACCTGGAGGGCTGGTTAAAACCCCCGATTCCCAGGCCCCATGTGCAGATTTTCTGATTCTGCAGGTCTACAGTGGGCCTGAGAATCTGTATCTCTAACATGTTTCTAGGTTGTTGCTGCTGCTGCTGGTCCAGGGTCCACACTCTGAGAACCAACGCTAAGGACCACGGCAGATGTGGATGGTGAGGCTCTCGTGCCAAGCTCTCGAAAGACAGAGTTGGGACTTCACGGAGCCTTAGGCACGGGCTTTAAAACTGTCTTCTGCTCTATGACTAGTAAGTGTTCGTAGGTGACAAATCTTGCTCTAAGACCTGCTTTGGTTAGAAACTGGTAGTCAAGATGTGGCTAAGAAGGCAGCCCACACCTCTGTATAACCACAGTGGCTCCCAACACCTATTGACCTAAGAGAACCTGGGCAGATCCTTTTTACCCCAATTATGATTTGAGGACCAAAGGCATCAGCATCTCTTCTGACCTTGTTAGAAATGCATAACCCCAGGCCCCACCCAGCTCTATGAACTAGAATCAACATTTTAACAAGATCCCCAGGTGATTCATGTATACCTTCAGGTATAATTGAGTCTTTGTTGTTGTTTAGTCGCTAGCTTGTGTCTGACTCTGCAATCTCATAGACTGTAGCCTGCCAGGCTTCTCTGTCCACAGACTTCTCCAGGCAAGAATACTGCAGTGGGTTGCCATTTCCTCCTGCAGGGGATCTTCCCCACCCAGGGATTGAACCCCAGTCTCTTGCATTGCAGGCAGATTTACCACTGAGCCACAAGGGAAGCCCTCAAATGAGTCTTTAATTATACATTTTAATACAGCTTCTTGTTTCATGTTAAAAGTTCAAGCATAAACTCTGTATAGAGACCTGTGTTGTCTTTTGTTTTTTTATCTTTCTACATTCTATTATGTGGGCTAGTGGATTATTTAGTGACTATTATAGTCAATTAGACCAAAATCTCATCTCTAGATTATGTTTGTGGGTCTCTTGTTTATGATGAACACTAATAAAATAAATTAAAGGTGTCCTACCCTCTTTCCAATTTTCCAAGGTGTATTCAGAATTCAGAACAAGTGGTCTAAACAAGCTCCATCCAACCCTCAAGAATTGGCAAATTCCAGGAGCTAGAGATCCAAGTGGGAGAGGCAAGGATGATGTGATTCTTTCAGGGTGTGGCTCATGGTAGAATATTATCAGAGACAAGCATCTGGAACATTCTTGCTCCAGCAGCACTCTCAGCTTCCCTAAAGCAGTTCAAACATTCTTCCCTTTCAAATCCTTCTAAATATGGCACATTCTGCCTGGAGTTGATCCACTGTGACACCCTTTCAAGCATACCCTCCAACACAATGCAGAGAACAAGCCTGCTGCCACCAGTTTTCCATGTAGCATGGTCCAACCAATGAGCACACAGTGATTCAGGAATACCACAAGACGGGAACAGGGAAAACATCTAGTTTTCATCATACTGTGACAGAAGCCATGCAGATTTATAGATTTATATCCAGTAACCATCAGTGAATTGCAACGGAGTTCTGGTTTCCTTAAAAAGTCCTACTCCAGAGAGATAACCATCTGTGTTGTCTGAATCCGCATGTGTTGCTAGGAACTGGCAGCACCATTCCCTCTGGCTTACAGCTGGTCGCCACCACCTTGCGAAAATGTGGAGGACACAGACTGAAACCTCAAGATGCGG